ATGATAGGGATCTACTTATTTTTGGTTTGCATGAGTTCCGAGTATATAAATCTATCAATTTCTGAAGAAATTTGCATTTAAATGGAAAATAATAATTTTATAGAAAAACACATTTTATGACCATTTTTCCATTGTGGAACAGTGTTGCCATATGGCAACGTTTTCCTAAGTACACCCCTTTTTTTTTGATTTGTATGATTGAAGCTATTTCATGTAATAAAAACTTATTTGAAAAAAATATTTCATAGAACATAATGCATACCATAGAGAGTTATTAGCACAATATATTATAAAAAGAACATTATTAACCATTCTTGTATTTTATTCTAACCAGTAACCTTATGGATCGGGGTCTTTGGAACTCTGGAACTGGAAACAAAATACTGCTTTGCTGAGAAAGAACTGAAATGAAAAACTATTTGTTTTAATCCCTGCCTTTGCAATGGACTGCTTGTCGTAATCACTTTTTTAAAATACCGTATCGGCCAGCCCAATGTGGCAGTTTAAATATTTCTAATAATTTATTGTTGTTAGTCAACATTTTTTGTACAAAAACATAATGTAACCTTTCATGACAATTTTCCTACTTTTCTTTAATTCTTAAAATGAAACAAGATAGTTTTTGCTACTGTTCCACACAGACTGCTAAATTGTTAGTTTAATCTAAGGGCTGAATGACTTCATTCAACTGCTATGCGGTTGAAGTTAAGTCGAGGTTGACTAGTCACTGATGACGTCACAAGAAACACAAGAGATGGGAATGTTTTGCAATTTGCAAATATATATACAGATGCTGACAGACAGCTCATAAGGTGTTGCAACTAAACGGTAACAATGCAACAATAACACTAACTCCCATTTTAGTTCAAAGGAAATATGTTTGATGCACATGTCTGCAATCAGCATAACATAATGACACTCTTGCGAGATCTAGATTAGAATTAGATTAGATTAGAATAAAATTAGAATAGATACATGTCAATGACTCATTAAAAATACCACAAGTTTTTTTTCAGGGGTTTAGCTTTACATGCAGCATAAACAACAGATGATTCACATATTGTGAATCACGCACTGCAGTGCTTATGTGAATGAAAGAAAACAGTATAAAGTGACATAAAAGAAATATAGGCTTACACAAAATTTGTTTCAATAAACAACACATTAACAAAACCAACGGGAAAAAACATTTGTGACAATACGCTGGCTTTCATTTAATTTTTGTGACAGCGCCACATGTTCGAGGAAACTGAAACAGCGGAAAGCAAGTGCTATTCGTTTTCTTTATTTTACAAATGCAGTGTTTTGTTGTTGTTGTGAGTATACATAAATAAAAATAGACCCTTTACAATTACAGTTAAAGCTGTTTTTTGTTGATATACTGGAACACAAGTAAGGTACAAAACCTTGTTTACGTAATAAATAGCCTAATAGTATAGCCGCCAAATGTTACATTTCACATATGTAAAAATTTGTATTTGTGCTGAACGAGACATTTCAGTTTCACCTTTGCTTTATTCATTTTTGTCTTGACTTTTAGCATGTTGTTTATAACGAATAGCATTATAATATGTTTTATTATATAAATCTATATAATTTTACTGCTACTTAAATTACCAGTATAAATTAAAGGATCAGCGACTAGTCGACGTCAAGCTTAAAGCGTCATGGCAGAGCATTAAAGACGACTAATCTGTGCAACCCCAAGTTCACTCAAAAGTTAAAATCCTGTCATTTATTCACCCTCATGTTGTTCCAAAACTATTAGACTTTATCTAATCTTCAGAGCAAAACTGTTTTGAGCAAAACAAAAACGTTTTTTGTCTATCCATGGTAATCATCATCTCCTCAATACTGAACCATATTTTATCTTGTGTTATAGACTTTCTTGGTGTAATCTCACTGGTCGGTTCTGTGAAAGTTTGTCTTCATCTCTACAATCATCAAACTCAATGAGAGAGCTGGACATGAGCAACAATAATCTGCAGGATTCAGGAGTGAAGTTCCTGTCTGAGGCACTGAAGAGTTCAAACTGTCAACTCAACATACTAAGGTACGAAAAACAGATAAAGGTTCACTTGGTTATGAAATTAAAGATGCCCTCTTTGTATTTGTTCCAGCCTGTTATTATAAGGAATTATAAGGAAAGAAATATTTGACAAATGAGTTCACTTAAAATAGTGGATAATCCTGCTTTAATACACTGCTCTCTGGAATAGAATCCTGATAACGAGCAGAAACTGATATCAGATTCCTCATCAAGGTAACTCAAGCTGACAATACTTTTATATGTCTCTTGTATGATCGCTCTCTCATGATTCATTCAAGAGGCCTGCAAATGGTGCTATCGTGCTGTCTCAGTTATGGATTGTTTTGAAAATGAAATCAGAGGAAGTTAGTACAAATGTGACCCATGCTGGCAAAAGGAGTTGGAATGCACACAGGCTAATTTTGAGCTACAGGCAAAAAAAAAAAAGGTCGAATTTTGGTCGAATTTGTAGGCAATGAAAGGCTCATTATTGTGATTTAAATGGTTTATTAATAAACGTGAGATTAATGCTTAAAATGAACGACTACTAATCGACCAGAAAAATCTTTGGTCGAGGGCAGCCCTAATATAACAGTTTTAACACACTGTAAAAGCGAACAGTAAAATGAATTAAATTAAATGAGTTAATTTCACTCAAATAATAATGAAAGTTCATTGTACTTAAATGAAAGACGTTCTGTAAACTCAAAATATTGTTGTAGTAAGCTGAACTTAAAATGATTGATTTTTCTAGTTCCCAGCATGCTTTGCATTCGACAACAAGGAAAATAAATGTCGAAGTGTTATTTTCTGTGTTTTTGCACAAGATTAACATAGAGAGACATAAGTTAGTACTTAAATGCTGTGTTATGTTAGGATTTACATAGGTTTCTGTTTTGCTGGTTTTGTAGTGTTACCGTTGTGGTGAAGAGTAGAGCTTGTTGTTTGACTATTTACATGCAAGTGCAAAATGAGAATCTTTTTGATAACTACATTAGCATGTGTTAGTGTGCTGTTGCTAACTAGCACTTAACTATAAAGGTCTGAATGAATGTCATGCTTATGGAAGCAAGCTGTATATAATTTTCGTCGTGATGATTGGGGTGGGATCATGGAAGCGAGGCTTGGTTTGGCTCCCATGGTGCCCCACTTGTCATAAAAATTTTAACCTCTACTAGCTTAAAACATTTGAGTTCATTTACTCAAATGTTTTGAGGCAATACGCTTCCTCAGATGTTTTGAGTATTCTTAACTAATCAGGTTTTACAATATATGTTATGATTATTTGCACCATGTGGTGTTGTTTTGGAGCTTGTTTTAATCATAAAAATCTGCTGTAAGTGTATGATATGCTACTTTATTCTGTTTATGTGTCAAGGAGTAATAAATGATTTTGTTATTTATGAAAATTGAATATTGTTACTTACAGTGGATGATTGTGATTATATGAACATTTCCAACATTATGGTACATGACTACCCTATCTCTATGAAGCTTTGCCTTTCCACTTGATTAATATTATTATATGTAATACATTGTAAAGTGGAAGCATCACAGATAAGCGCTATGTCAAATGTTTGTGAATGTGAATGAGTATGTGCATGTATGCACACACACTCACACAAACCACAGCAGCACAAACTGTGGTTGCCAGCTTAATAATTACACCATGTCTAAAGTGAATTGTGTTTGTATGTGTGCTGTTGTTTTGTTACATGCTGTATATTTAATTTTGGTTTAATTGAAGGGTTAATTCCACTGATCTACAGATGACTGGATTTTTATTATAGAATTCAAAATAGCCAGCAGACAGTAAAGCCACAGGAGGTGTACAGGCAGTCATATTGCTATTCCCAAATAAGTTCCCAAATAAAACAATATAGTATAAAGTAACTTAATTACATAGTCACAGTGAATAGCTGAACAAAGCTAATTAAGTTATGTGTGCATACCTTACAAAGCATAAATATATACGTATTTCAGACATTTCAGTATGAGCACTTTGACGTATGAGATGTCTCTTCTGTCTGTTGCACTGATCTGACATTTGCTCCTAATGGAGATCAACATAACTTCCTCACACTTTCAATAAGCTCAAAACTTAAATAACCATTTGCTTTCTTAGTTTGTTTGCTTTGTAAGAATGTACTGGAAGACTTCAAATATAAAAATAATGGCTTGATAGGTAATGTTTACTTATTTCATTAGGATAATTTCTTATTAATTGAATATAATGTGTTGGAATACCAGTGTCACGATACTGCTACTGTGGAGGAGACGAAGCAGCGTGGAGACTAAGGAGATTCAGAGTTCATCACAGTCTTTATTAAATCCAAATAAAGACACACATGGAACGGGCAGGAACACACACGTAGCAATGGGGTTAGACATACAATACCAGACACTAGACATGGAAAGACACAGGGCTTAAGTAATGGGACTAAATCAAGGAAATTAATGGGAACCAGCTGAAACAAATGAACATAATTGACATGAGGGAGAAACTAGATAATGGGGAGAACATGGGGAGAAAATCACAAGACACAGGAACACGGGACTGACATTACTCCCCCCTCCCGGAAGGTGTGTCCACGTGCCACACCACACTCACACAAACCACAGCAGCACAAACTGTGGTTGCCAGCTTAATAATTACACCATGTCTAAAGTGAATTGTGTTTGTATGTGTGCTGTTGTTTTGTTACATGCTGTATATTTAATTTTGGTTTAATTGAAGGGTTAATTCCACTGATCTACAGATGACTGGATTTTTATTATAGAATTCAAAATAGCCAGCAGACAGTAAAGCCACAGGAGGTGTACAGGCAGTCATATTGCTATTCCCAAATAAGTTCCCAAATAAAACAATATAGTATAAAGTAACTTAATTACATAGTCACAGTGAATAGCTGAACAAAGCTAATTAAGTTATGTGTGCATACCTTACAAAGCATAAATATATACGTATTTCAGACATTTCAGTATGAGCACTTTGACGTATGAGATGTCTCTTCTGTCTGTTGCACTGATCTGACATTTGCTCCTAATGGAGATCAACATAACTTCCTCACACTTTCAATAAGCTCAAAACTTAAATAACCATTTGCTTTCTTAGTTTGTTTGCTTTGTAAGAATGTACTGGAAGACTTCAAATATAAAAATAATGGCTTGATAAGTAATGTTTACTTATTTCATTAGGATCATTTCTTATTAATTGAATATAATGTGTTGGAATACCAGTGTCACTATACTGCTACTGTGGAGGAGATGAAGCAGCGCGGAGACTAAGGAGATTCAGAGTTCATCACAGTCTTTATTAAATCCAAATAAAGACACACATGGAACGGGCAGGAACACACACGTAGCAATGGGGTTAGACATACAATACCAGACACTAGACATGGAAAGACACAGGGCTTAAGTAATGGGACTAAATCAAGGAAATTAATGGGAACCAGCTGAAACAAATGAACATAATTGACATGAGGGAGAAACTAGATAATGGGGAGAACATGGGGAGAAAATCACAAGACACAGGAACACGGGACTGACATTACTCCCCCCTCCCGGAAGGTGTGTCCACGTGCCACACAACATCCAACGGGGAGGGGGGGAGAGGGGGTGGGTGCTCTGGAGGCAGGTCACTGAAATCAAACATTTTTGGAAACTCCTGCCAGGGTGAAGATTTTCAAAAAACTCCGGTTGCAGTGTTATCATGTAGACAGCGAAACCGGAGTTTTTGGCTTGTGACGTCGGCGCCTGCGCTGTTATCTTCGCCTACTGGAAATGTTTTCAGGCTTCTGATTGACCAACATGGCTTTACGGTTGAGATTATATCACCACCTGTTGGTTTGGCATGCTATTGACAGTGGTTCATAGCATGCGTTTGCATTTTCATGTGGACAGAGATTTTTTTTAAAATGGAAGTCCGAAAAAACTTTATAAAAATACCCGTGTACGTGTGGACATGGCCTTAGTGTTGTTTAGTGTTTAAGTGGTCAGTCAATATTCATTGTTCACATCCTGATGAAAAATATTTGTCATGTGATCTTAAAACACATTTAATCTATAATCATGTGTTATAGATTTGCTGGCTGTAATCTCACTGATCAGTGCTGTACAAGTTTGTCTTCATCTCTACAATCATCAAACTCACTGAGAGAGCTGGACCTGAGTAACAATAACCTGCAGGATTCAGGAGTGAAGCTGCTCTCTGATGGACTGAAGTGTTCACACTGTCAACTCAACATACTGAGGTTTGTGATTTTCAGTTAAATGTAACTTAATTGGCCAACATGGTGTTACGGTTGAGATTATATCGCCACCCGTTGGTTTGGCATGCTCTTGACAGTACATTGTTTTTGATGATAGAACTGCTTGTGGTTTCAACAAACCCATCACTTTATCAAAATTTCACCATCCAGTTAGGCTCATCAACCATAACTTTAATCTTTAATGAGCCTAAAAGAACGCATGTCACACCTCTGTTCATCAATTTGCATTGGCTACAGTAGCTGCTCGTATAAAATTCAAGGCATTCATGTTTGCCTACAAAACCACCACTGGCTCTGCACCCATTTACCTAGATTCATTACTTCAGAGTTATGTGCCCTCTAGAAGGTGGAATTGACCTGCCCAAATCAATCCGAGCAGCTGAGTCCTTAGCCATCTTCAAGAAACGACTAAAAACACATCGGGTTCACCTTTATTTGATCCTCTAACTCTAGAATTTCTATTCTATTTTAATTCTACTTTACCTATATTTATCTTCTTTTTTTATAAAAAAATAAAATAAAAAAACACTAGCTTTCTATTTTTTCTGTTCTATCTACTTATTTTTCTTTGTGTGTGTGTGTGTATAATATATATATATATATATATATATATATATATATATATATATATATATAT